ATAAATTTTACGTCATGCGTGGAACGACGCTTGTGACATCATTTAAGAAAACGCACGACCAGTTGTACATTTTACATTGTGGGATCTTTTAAACTCCATCCTAAAACCCACCAATAAATTTATACAGTACCAAAAATTATGGTTAGTTTGCTGATTGTGTAAACACGTTTGTAAACACAACTGGTATCTTTTTTCAATACAAACCTTGAAAACATGGCAGCCATGTGCCAGCGATTCTGGCTTTGACCTCTGAACATGTAGTATAGTAGGAAATCAAAAGCATCGACGGGAAAAAGCAGTTATGCAAGAGAACAGGTAGGAGAATTGTACAGTATGTGTTGATACCGTTCACGTAAGTGCATGTCATCAGTATTCAGCAAAATTTCAAGTGGACGTTAAGGAGGGGTGGGGGAAGGACGAGAAGGGGGGTCTGACCTAACCGTCCAGTTGACGTAAAGCGGGGAAAAAGTGAATATATCGACGGCCGCTAAGTATCCACTTTATTAGATTTATCACCCAATTACACTGCAATTAGGCGGTCCGATAAGGCTATATAATTTTTGGACAAGTATAGTAAACTCACGAAAGTCCGGAGTTATCATAAGACAAATTTACAAAGTACATGAACATGCATTGCTCTTTGGAAGTTCGATTCCGTAGTCTAAATTATCTCTTCTAAACAAAGCTTTGCACAATGCCAATTCAATCTTTAGGTACACACAATCAACAAGTTAAGGTTTTTTCTGGTCTGATGGCTTTCTAAGAAAATGCAGTACACATATTGCCGCGGCACAAGGTTAGCAAAAGCCCTAAATATAGGATTCGTTTCTCTAATCATCTAGGATAGTTACAGGATAGCTTCGATAAACATAGGTCAGGAAAAATTAGCTAAAAACCAGCCACAGCTTAAAAAATCGGCGAATTTCTAACATCAGGAAAGCCCAATTTTTGCATTTTCACTGCAGCAACATTTTTTAGTCGTGTTTAAACTGAAGACTAGTCACTGTATGATTACCAAACGCACTAAGTACGGAGTTCATGTTATGTCACAAAGCATTCTTGTCCAAAAACAAAGGCTCGATCATCTTCTGGTCAGAGTGGCCCCGCTGCTGAAAAAACAAATTGAAAGAAGAAATTAGTGCAGAAAGTCAGTCCAGATCATACTACAACACTTCCTTATTTTTTTAGTAATTATTTGTTGGGTCAGTGTAGTTATTACTTGGAGTTCTTATTATGTTTCAAGGAACTTTCCGTGTTACGATTGCCTGAAAAGCACGTTGAAAAGCGGATAATTGATGGTTACCCGCTTAACCTATTAGACCTATACGATTCACCAATAGTTTGCCTCAGGTGTTCATGATAATTAGCGAAAACAGCACGAAAAGTAGGATTCCGAATGATCATCCTTCGAAACTAAGAGGCATGAAGGAAGAAACTTTGAATAACTTACAAATTATAAGAAAAGAGAATTTTCCAATAACAGAAATAATAACCAGACACAAAGGTTACGATCATCCACGTACGAATACGTAAGTTCATAGCAGTACCTTAAAGTTCGTCTTGTTCTGGGTTAAGAGCTCGGGTAAAAGCTTAGTTTGCTGAACAGTTTTCCAACTCAACCTAACGTTCATGGATTGCTGAAATGAGCCGTTCATTAATTCAACTCATTCCTTAGCATTTTGTACATGTGTTCATATCACAAACTAAATCAGTTTAATCATATGTACAAAAATGTGAAACTCTTAATGCTTTGAAATGTGCCACTGAGAGATACTGCTCAATTGTTCATTCGACTGATCATTCATAGCCTTAGTAAATTATAATTACTAAAAATTGAGCATGATTCCTTTCCAAAAGCTAGTATATAAAGTTTGCAAAAGAGCTGTTTTTACAATTTTTTTTTATATCCGTAAAAGATTTGGAAACTTCCGTCTTCCTTTTCCATTCGTGATTAAAAAAGGAAATTTTTGAGCACCCTTTCCATCTTGTCATCAATCTATTCAATTAAGCGCCAACCCTTGACCTGTTATGTCGACTAGAACCTCCAAGCTGATTGTGTTCGAAACAAAGACAGTCATGAACTCCTTCAAAATCGCTCAAAAAACCGCTTTTGAGGCAAAAGACGACCACTATATACCACAGGTAAGGTAATTCAACGTATATTTATCCGACCAACCCAGATATTTTACTTCTGCCCAGCAACGGGGCATATATGATGAAGTTAAAGCATTCAAATTATAAACAGGTGGTGCCTCGAATTCTTAGAAAAGTCTACTGAGATCCGGTGGGGGGCCTTGACATAGCAAAAAACTCACAACCAATCACACTCAATCAGGAAAAATTAGCTAAAAGCCAGCCACAGCTTAAAAAATCGGCGATTTTCTAACATCAGGAAAGCCCAATTTTTGCATTTTCACTACAGCAACATTTTTTAGTCGTGTTTAAACTGAAGACTAGTCACTGTATGATTACCAAACGCACTACGTACGGAGTTCACGGAGAACAGTTTTCCAACCGAACCTAACGTTCATGGATTGCTGAAATGAGCCGTTCATTAATTCAACTCATTCCTTAGCATTTTGTATATATGTTCATATCACAAACTAAATCAGTTTAATCATATGTACAAAAATGTGAAACTTAATGCTTTGAAATGTGCCACTGAGAGATACTGCTCAATTGTTCATTCGACTGATCATTCATAGCCTTAGTAAATTTTAATTACTAAAAATTGAGCATGATTCCTTTCCAAAAGCTAGTATATAAAGTTTGCAAAAGAGCTGTTTTTACAATTTTTTTTTATATCCGTAAAAGATTTGGAAACTTCCGTCTTCCTTTTCCATTCGTGATTAAAAAAGGAAATTTTTGAGCACCCTTTCCATCTTGTCATCAATCTATTCAATTAAGCGCCAACCCTTGACCTGTTATGTCGACTAGAACCTCCAAGCTGATTGTGTTCGAATCAAAGACAGTCATGAACTCCTTCAAAATCGCTCAAAAAACCGCTTTTGAGGCAAAAGACGACCACTATATACCACAGGTAAGGTAATTCAACGTATATTTATCCGACCAACCCAGATATTTTACTTCTGCCCAGCAACGGGGCATATATGATGAAGTTAAAGCATTCAAATTATAAACAGGTGGTGCCTCGAACTCTTAGAAAAGTCTACTGAGATCCGGTGGGGGGCCTTGACATAGCAAAAAACTCACAACCAATCACACCCAATCAGGAATATATGATGCATATACGATGAAGTTAAAGCATTCAAGTTATAAACAGGTGGTGCCTTGAATTCTTAGAAAAGTCTAATGAGATCCGGTGGGGGGCCTTGACATAGCAAAAAACTCACAACCAATCACACTTACGTTAAACGCTACTATTCAACAAAATTCAGTACATTTTCTTGCCTTCCTAATACTGTCTTATTTTTAGCATTTTTTTATCTCCTGTTTAATCCCACAATCTCGTTAAAAATAATACTATCTGACAAAAAAGATTTTAGGGCCATTACACATTTCGTATTTTGAGACACATTTATGAAGTCTCAGCTAAACAGTCTAGCCCTGCCCCTCCCCTCAACTCCTCTAGCCTGACTAAATTATTCAAACCTGATAAGATCGAAAGCGAAAGTTAAAAACCATGACATACCAGATAGGACATCATTTTCAACTGGTGCATAGTACTAGCATTGATCTTCTGCGGGCACATTTCAGGCAAATGACTGTTCTCTTAGCAAATTTGCTGATCACATCGTTGCTGTGGATGTCAGGTAAGAAGCCAGGGAGAAGCTTGAGACGTGGCGAAAATGAACTCTAGAAAGTGTGCTGTGTTTAATGTTCTAAATCAGCTAAACGGCGCTTACGAGGGTTAAACCCCCTCCGTCGCAGTACTAGATTTAGTAGTCGAGGGGAAAATGAGGTTTTTGGGGTCAAGGCTGAGGAAAAATAAAATCAAAATATACATCCTCATGAAGTTTACTCTAAGCCACTAAAAAGATATGAAATCACAGACTTGAAAATAAACCACTTGTCGCCAATTTCTATCACCGTCCCCGTTTGCTGTCCCTGGCAGATTCAATCTTGTCTATGCAAAACATAAATACGCGGATGAGTAAAATCACAAGGTGAAGTGTATCCTTTGCCGGCTCAGGAAAAAATCCAGGATTTGAAAAGTTTTTAATGGAACGTTACATAAATCTAGAGGAGATTGTATTTTGCGCTCCACTTTAGAAAGCAGATGTGCTTGTGTCGGATCTCTAGGAGACATGTCGGGCAAAAACATTAAAACTAGGAACCCAGGTAATGAGGACTTTTGAAGACACAAATATAGTATTTCGGAGTGAATCTCGTTTGTTCATTGTTTATTCTCGTGATTTTTAAAGCTAAACAAGGCAGCGATAAAGCCAATCATGCTTCTTTTGGTTTCATTTTCACGAAGAGCACTGGGGAACCTGTGTTAAGGAAGTCGAATTCTCGAACATATAAATTTGGGCTGTTTTAAATAATTCTTTTGTTACATGTTACTGAGTATAAAGAAGGTAGTAGTTAGTATATACACATGTAACTTATTCGACGCCTTCACGTCTATATGACGAACAGAAAATACGCCAACAAATTGTTTGGTAGCTAAAAGGTTTTTCCCCAAGGATTTGCACTTCATTTCAGGCCAAAGAGTGTTTTAAAAGCATCTTTAAAGTCACCAAGAACACACCCCGGGAACGAGTAACGAAACTCAGGGCCTCGCCTGGTTCCTTGTACCCTCAAGCAGTGGTAGGTTCCTTAAAAGATGGTTAAGTAAAGGTTTTCTTTTCTAAGAACATGTCACTCGAGCTTACAAAATACGGTTGTGTTTTACTTCGAGATTCAGTGATGATAACACAGAATGTTACTCTAAGCAATGCATAGGAAGGTAAAGACAAAAATGGAAAAAAAATTTAATCCTGGATTAGCGTCAATCGGCCTTTCAGAAACCGGGGCCAGCTGATCAATACAGCGCCCGCATGAACAGCGCACTCAAGCACCATTCTTTCTTGACATAAGTAAGTAGCAATATCCAGACACAAAGCTGCGAAATTTGGGCAGCTACCTTCTGTACTAGCCCTAAGCAAGATAAGAGACTACTCCAAGTCAAAATAAAGCTCTAAACGATTGCTTTTGTCAACGTTTATTTTTACATGCGTAAATGATTAACTTTTTTTTCTTTTTTTGGATACTGTCTCGATCCTCCCCAGGGAAAGGAGCGTGGGCTCATTTCCCGAACAGCGGCTTGTAATCGAGCCAAATGAATATCGTGATCGATATTTTGACCAAAAGTGTAGAAAAGCGCACAAACTTCACGACACAGTTCACTAAGTACGCAAAATACAGACTACAACTCATAAATGTAGACAGAAGTAGATTTTGAACAATAGTTATCTTTGCTAGTCCTTGGATTGCTGACCTAATTTCAGACCTGTCACGTACGAACTTAAACCCTAAAACACCTTAAAATTAACACCATTAACATTAAAATATCTTTTGATTGCACACTTTTATAAACGGACCTCCCAAGGAAAAAATTTACAGCCACTTTTAGACTTCTCTTTATCAGCATTTCCATCAGAAGTTGTTCTCCCGTGACTAAAAGAGCATGTAGAGAAAGCTCTTCCCTGATTAGGACCCGGATTGATGACCGCTCTGCGCCGAGTACGACGCCCACAATGACACAGGGGTGAGGCAATACCACCTCCATTGAAGCAAGCTACAGGGGAAGTAACGGGGGAGTTCATGTTCCCATGAAGGGGTGGGTTGAGAGAGAGAAATTTTCGTATTTGAGTAGTACATGGTTTGTTCAAGTATATTGAATTGGGAATGGTTACAACAGTCGCTGCTTTTGCCATTGGTTTGTTAATAGCTGTTATTCCAATGTTATTCGAAGCTACTGTTATAGATTTACCATTTTTCAGTCGTTCTATCGAATGTCTCTCTTCGATTAAGCTTTGGTTTGTTGGTAACCTGAACAGGGGCGTTTTCACACTCTGAGGATCAATATTTGATGCTTTGCATGGTTGATTGCAGGCAGTGTAATCCTTTTGTCCCATTCCAGGAACTCGCTGAATATTGCTTCTCAAAGGTGTATGCTGATGGTAGCTCAGTGTCTGTTTCGCATGACCTCTTTTCATAAGAAACCCTTGTGTTGAGCAGCTCTGCAGTTCACTTTTAAATAAACCATTACAACATCCTTTTGCCCTTTTGTTCAGACTTGATAAGCACGTGGCAGGAGTTATAAGAGACTTGGAAGTGTTTTTGGGTGTGTCATTGACCATATCGCAATTCCCAAAAGGAATGCCTTCACTTACAGAACTTTCCGATCCTCTCCTTTTATTTTGGCCATTTGCTTCACTCTCATTCCCACTCTTCACAGCTCCCCAAACAGGGCTATTTTTTCTTAGATTTGTCGCTGTATTTTCAGGAAACTGGTCAGCTCTGGGCCCTGTCAGTTCCCTTTTTACAGGGATGCTCTGGCGTGTTTCATGTACATGTACATCGTGACACTCTTCTAGTGAGCGTTACCAAAGCTAATAAGCTTTCCTTTGACTTCTTTCCTCAGTACAGCTCTTTGACGGTTTAACGTTATGATTTGTCAATCTATTTCCAGGAATCTGGACAGATCTGGGCTCTTTCATCTCGCTTTTCACAGTAACCTTTTGTCTTATGCCATTTCCGCCTTGATTCTGTGCTTGAAAGTCACCAAAGGTTAAACTTTTGTTTACACTTGTTGTTTCATCGGTACAGTTTTTAGACGGTCCAATGTGATGCTTGTTTTGAGGTGCTTGCATATCTTCAAAATCAAAACGTTCTTACCGTGGATATTGGTATGGAAGGCCCCAGTACCGTTTGCCTTCAAATTATTTGGGGAGTGACCAGGTTTCTTTGTCACAATGTTCCAAAGTTTTTCCACTGCCTAGAACAACAAAACTGAAATCGTCTTGAGAGTATATTTGAGAAACACGCAATCTAAGAGCTTTAATTAGCGGAATTATGCATACAGAAAGAGTTAACTCGCCAATGCTGTAATCATGCTAGACTGCGAGCAGTCTCTCTCTTTTTCACTTCAGATTTAGTGAGGGGAGTGTTCTTGCTCCCCAAGGCAACAGAACGGCAGTGAGATCGAAGACGATACGCTAAACAATCTTTAAAGTAAGTAATTATAAACGCGTGAGGACAAGAACATGATAGCCTCACAATCAAAGTCAATAATTAACCTGTTTGATCTCACGCTCAAACACTTGAATTATTGGTTAATTGACATGAGAGGAGGCAGAGGGTTTTTACTGGAAGTGCAGGACCGTGCAGAGTTATAAGCTTTGTGGGCACCTATTCCCATTTAATATTTCACGCTCATTTCTGTGTCATGGCGAGACTTTTCTGCTTTAAATAATCGCCCCCCCCCCCC